GCTTTGTTATGTAGTCAATATCACTTGCTTTATATTTGTGGAAAGACATCTATCTATATAATTATTGTGCATTATGTAGTCATTACGCCTATAGTAGAAAACTTTCCGTTTACAGAAAAACTAGAGCCAATTGACAAATTTCATTGTTATATTTGAACTCAGAATGTGAAATTCATTAAGAAATGGATCCTTTTGTTTCCAAAACTGGCAAAAAATAAAAATTTGTTGAACAGTGTTATTTGTCACTTACTTCCAACTTGCTGACGGTTCCATGTTGTGGGTATTTTCACCTTCTGCCTTCTATTTTACAGCTTTACAGTATTAACTTCTCTTAAAGTGGCTGGTGACTTCAGTTATGAAGACAGTGCAATTACTGTAGGTGAATCAAATCTGCCTGCTTCATAAACAGATCCCTTTAATTTATCGTTCACAGTGCAGATACCTTAAAATGTATGCCCAGACATTATTCAAATTCACCCCTAAACCTTTCTCTCCTCCTCTAGAGCAGTCTTTTTCAACCCTTTCAACACAAAGGAAGCCTTGAAATAACTTTTTGTTCAAAGGGAACCCTTGCTAAAAATGACTATATCTAAAACTCATAATACATTATGGTGATGGTCAGTGGGAAGACTGCCCCTTACACTTGTAGACATTAGGAAGAATTATCACCTAACACAGGGGTGTCAAACTGTCGCCCCCCCCATCTGTTGTGAAACTACACGTCCCATCATGCTTCTGCCTTTTGGAGTCATGCTTGTAACTGGCAATCTTGCAATGCCTCATGGGACTTGTAGTTTGTAATTTTTTTTACATCACATTTTGCTTGAGGTGATTGTAGCCATATTAGTGCATTTGTGACAGAAACAATTGAGTACTGTCGGTGATACTTTTTTTATTTGCACTAACATACAATTTTGAGGACAAGCATTTGGGGAGTGTCCCCTTCTTCAAGGTCCAAGCAGTACTATACAAATCACAAAGTATTAGCAGAATGTTAGAAGAGATAAAACAAAAAGAGGCTAGAGATAATACACAACAAAAGCAAAGGGGGGGGGGGGAGACAACACTCACATCACAGAGGGAGTCAAGCTTGAGCTGATAGTCATAACACTGTTGGATAATGATTGAGGAATCCCATGTCCAAATTCAGGCCGTTATCTCTTATATCAAATAGAATTATCATTCTTAGTTCAAAAGTTTTTCTTTCCTGAATGGATTTGAAATTTCCTTTGAGAACTAAAATATATTGAGGTCTCCCATTGTGTGGTCTGGTTGTGCGAAATGGTGTCCCACAGGTGTGCAGAAGTCATCTTCTTTATGTTCCTTGATGGTATGTCTGTGCAAATTCATCCTTGTTTACAACTTCTGTCCTGTTTCGCCAACATAAGATCCTTTGCTGCATTTTCTGCACTGGATAAGGTACACAACATTACTGGAGGTGCAGCTGTATGATCCGGAGATATTGAAGATCCCTTTTGAGTGTCTGACACCTTTTGATGGATTGATTTGGTTGCACAGTTTGCAGCGTTTTTTATTGCAGGGTTTACTTCCATTATTTGTGACATCATAATCAGAAGGAAGTTTCCTACTGATTAGTTTATTTCTGAGGTTGGGGGGTTGTCTGAAAGCCAGTATTGGTGGTTGCTGGAATATTTCTTTCAGAGTTCCATCCTCTGTTATGATGAGTTGTAAATCTTTGATTATTTTTCTTATTCCTTCTAGTGCTGGGTTGTATGTGGTTACTAGAGGTACACGGTTGTTTGTTTGTTTTCTCTTTGTACTGAAGTAGATTTTCCCTTCGGGTTCTGAAGGCTGTGTTTATGCTGGTGTTGATAGTTTTGTCCTTGTAACCTTTCTTATGGAAGGCGCCTGCTAGTGTCTCGAGATGTTTATCTCTGTCTCTTGGGTCAGAACATATTCGGTGGTATCTAATGGCCTGACTGTGTATGATGGCACGTTTCGTGTGTTGGGGGTGGAAGCTAGAACTGTGGAGGTAGTTGCATCTGTCAGTGGGTTTCCTGTATATTGAGGTGTAAAGCGTATCATCGCTGATGTATACTCTAGTGTCTAGGAAGTTGACGTGTGTGTTTGAGTATTCCATTTTTAGTTTGATTAATGGATGAAAAGTGTTGATCAATGAGTAAAATTGGTTTAGGTTTTCTTCACCTTCTGTCCATATGATGAAAATATCATCAATATAGCGATAGTATCTGTGTGGTTTTTGTTCCATACTGTTCAGGAATTTTTCCTCCAGGTCAGCCATAAATAAATTGACATATTGGGGTGCCATTTTACTTCCCATCGCAGTACCCATACATTGAAGATAGATGTCTTTATTGAAGGCAAAGTAGTTGTGTGTAAGTATGAATTCAATTAGCTGTGTAACATCCTCAGCAGTGTATTTGTGGTTTGGTGAGGATGATAAGGCTCTGTGACATGCAGCTAATCCATCCTTGTGAGGGATATTACTATACAGGGATACTACATCCATAGTCACTAAAAGTGTATTAGATGGTAATTGCTGTATGTTGTTGATCTTGTTCAGAAAGTCAGTTGTGTCTTGCAGGAAACTAGCAGTATTCTTGACTAACGGTTTTATAATATTTTCTACAAAGCCTGAGATTTGTTCGGTGAGTGTATTCATACCTGTTATGATGGGTCTGCCTGGATTTTCTGGCTTGTGGATTTTGGGCAGCATGTAGAAGTCCCCGATTTCTGGATGATCTGGAATCGCATTTATAAGTTCTGAATGTAAGTGGGCTGGAAGTGTTTTAATGAGACCTTTTAATTGCTTTGTAAAGTCCTGGGTCGGATCATAATCCAGTTTCTTATATTAGATGGCATTTTCCAGCTGCCTCTGACCTTCTTGTATGTATTTGTTTGTATCCATCACAACAACTGCTCCCCCTTTATCCGCTGGTTTGATGGTGATGGTCTGATTATTGTGCAAATCGTGTATAGCCCTTCACTCTAGTGGTGAAAGATTGTACAGAATTTTCTTTTGCTGGGTGGATATCAGGGATGTAGCTCGCAATCTGAAGCTATCAATATAGGTGTCCAGTTTGGGGTTGCGTTCTTTTTCTTTGTGTAGCACTCTACTGTGGTCTTAGTATCACACTACCAATCCAGACATCAGAGCTATAAAATAGTCTGAAAGGTTCAAAAAGGCTGAAAGAGGCAGCAACTAGAAAAATAAGGCAAACTGTCATTTCACTGTGCTAGCAGTTTGAGACTCGGTATAGAGATCCAGATTGGATAATCTGTACACACCATGCAGTAAAAACAACAATGAGGACCTGGCCAGATGGTACTATAGGGTGGGAATCTGAAACCTTTTATTACATAAGGAAATTGGTTTCTGGAGATAGCATAATTGGTTGGCTGCATTTACCTAAAAGTTCATTTGTACTAATATTGGCAAGAGCTCAAATTTACAGCTTTACAGATTTTTGTCAAATAATTTTTATGACAATATTATGCAGGGCCCTCTAGTGGATATAGTTGCTGAGAGTAGTTAGGGGCTTGCTAGAAGCCTGGGCTTTACTAAGAGGGTTACTTCAGGCCAGCTCTGGAGGGCTCTACAGGTCAGTCCCCTGGTACCTTCCCCTGCTCTAGAAACTTGGAGAAAATTCTATAAGTCAGTGAGTGGAGGTGAGGAGGGGCTGATCTGCATATTTATTGGAGTCTGCCCAATCCCAGACTGGGCTCCTGACAGTGTGGCATATCAGCTCATAAATATGATAGAGTTTTGCCAGCAGGGGAGTCAGGTGGAAGATGGAGTGCTGAGAGGAGCTGCTGTGTAGCCTGGGAGGGGGCACTGGAGAAGGGGGGTGTTGCTTTGAGGCTGGAAGCTGGAGGAGGAAACTGAAAGAGGGAGCTTCTCTGTTCTGCAGTCTGCCAGGGAAAGACAGCCTACCAAGCTTATAGAGGAACCAGCCCAGCAATAGAGGCCTGAAAGCAGTTTTATCCATAGCTGCAGGACAAGGACAGTGTGAGTTCCTCTACACCCCCACGGCCTAGAAGGGAGAAGCCTGCTGGATTCAAGTTCTGACAAGTCTTCAGTGGACAGTTCATAGCTTACCCAACCCCTTGTCCTTGGATCAGATACCATAGCCAGGTGGGCTGGTATTTTGCACACTTAGGGGGCTTGAAGCTCCTACAAGTTAGGACTTTGCTAAAATCCATTTAAGGGGACTCAAGGTTCCAGCTGGACCACAGTCATTTATCTGTCATAGTTGTAGCATTTTCTAGAGAAGAAGGTTGTCCTTAAACTATTATTCTGCAATCAAATTGGGCATCACATAACTGCTATACTCTATGAAAGTTAAATTCCCAAATAAAACTAAAAAACAAGCCCATGGACTGTTTCTTGTTTCTGGATGCAAGTGAAAAATGCGTGTTTCCTGGCTGTGCAGAAAGTAAAGGGGGACCCAAAACCAGTGGCTCTAAAAGAGGGTAGCACTACAATTATAACCAGAATTTGGCTATCATGAACAGTGCTGTTTTATCTGTGAGACTGCTTGTTTGGGGAAAGGAAGAGTGCGTTTAAAACAAATATTTGCAGCAGATTTTGAAGTGACAACTGTGTTTACATGCTTGGGGAATGGAAGTGTTGGCTTTAACACAGTGGTTTTCATGCCATGTCTTGATGCTATAAGAATGTTGTAAACACTTATATAACAAAACTCAGACTGGTAGAAGGAGTGGCAGCAACACCAGCCAATCAGATGTGCTGGCAAACAACACACTGAAAGGAGCACAGTTGATGCTTTTCTACTGTCCAATCAAAGGCTGGATGTGGGGAGGGGATAAGACTGTATATATATATATATATATATATATATATATATATATATATATACAGTGCTCAGTATAAATGAGTACACCCCTTTTGAAAAGTAAGATTTTAATCAATAACTCAATGAACACAACAACAATTTCCAAAATGTTGACAGAACTGAGTTTTTTTTAGAACATTTGTTTAGCTCATTACATGAAAGTAAGGATAATAATATAACTTATATTACAAAATCTTCAGTTTTACTCAAATTAGTTGATGCAAAAATGAATACACCCTACAACAAAAACTACTACATTTAGTATTTTGTATGAGTCCATGATTTGTAAGGACAGCACCAAGTCTTCTGGGCATGAAATGAACAAGTTGGTGTCTGTGAGGGATTACCCCAGTAGCGGGTTGTGCTTGACCCCCTGGATGAGTCAGGGCATGGTGAAAGAGCCTCAGCATGACAGCAGGATCTTGGTGAAGAAAGTTGGGCTTTATTTACAAGACTGGTGAACACACGGTGCATACATTCAAAACAGCGAAAAAATACAAACAGAAAATAAAGCCTTACCACATGGGGCATCTAACTGCAAACCTGGGCTCCTATTTACCTGTCTGGATACAGCCTACCGCTGCTCAGACACAGGGTGTTCACACAGAGCGTCTCCCAGTCCAAAATCACACAGATTTACTCTCATCACATTATTGTTTTGGTTGCTCCCCAGTCTGTCCTGCACAGCAAACTGGTTCCAGGTTGGAGCATTCTCCCTAAGCAGCCTAGGACTTTTATAAAGCCCAGAGCCCTTAACCTACTACAGCTAAGCTCATTAAATCATTAGTGAGCCAAACAGGCTCACTACACAGCACAAAAGGAGAAACAGTCGGTGTAGAGCATGAATCTGGGACAAATATACCTCCCATCTTGGACACATCCCTTAGTTCTTCCTGGCTTCCTGTCACATGACATATTGCAACATCTATTTTTTTTTCATTCTTCAAGAACAACCTCTTTTAGAGCCTGAATGCATTAATGATGCTCAGCTTGTCTCTTCAGAATTCCCCATAGGTGTTCGATTGGGTTCAGATCAGGAGACATACTTGGCCACTGAATCACTTTCACCCTGTTCTTCAGAAATGCAACAGTGGCCTTAGATGTGTGTTTTGGATAATTGCCATGTTGGATAAGTGCATGACGACCAAGGGCTCGGAGTGATGGTATCATCTTCTCTTTCGGTATAGAGCAGTACATCTGTGAATTCATGATACCATCAATGAAATGCAGCTTTCCAGCAACAGCAGCACTCAAACAGCTCCACAGAAGGACACTGCCACCACCATGTTTCAATGTAGGCACCATGCATTTTTCTTTGTACTCCTCACCTTGGCGACGTTTTACAGTTTTGAAGGCATCATTTGCAAAAACATTTATCTTGGTCTCATAACTCCAGAATACAGAGTCCCAGTAGTCTTCTTTTTCAGAATGGGCCCTGACAAATTCTAGATGGGCTTTTTTGTGCATGGGCTTTAGGAGAAGCTTCCCTCATGGACAACACCGATTCATGCCACTCCTCTGCCGTGTATGCCGTATTGTGTCATAGGAAACAATCACCCCAGTTTGACTTTCTACTTCTTTAGCTAACTGCAGTGAACTTGCATGGCGATTTTCTTCTACCCTTCTCATCAGAAGACACTGCTATCGAGGTGTTAACTTCCATGGATAGCCTGAACATCTCTGAGATGGTTGTTGTTTCATCTTTGTTAAATTTTTGTATCACTTTTGCTACAGTATTCTGACTGATAAGTAGAGTTTGCTGATCTTCTTGTAGTCTTCACCTTTCCTGTGTAAAAAAATGTTTTTCTTTCTCAGGCCTTACGGCATTTGTGTTCCATGTGGTGCCATTGCTGACAGCATGATATGGGAAGGGGTTTTCTTTGTTAAATAATGCACTTTTATAATCAACTGTCGGCTGGACACCTGTTTAATGAATAATTAGACTCACCTGTAGTTGAATTCTTGCTACTTTTGTTTCCTAAAATTTTGCTTTGCTCCTAAGACTGTACATACACTATACACATTTCTGCCCAATTTGTAGTGCAAGGGCCTGCCTAATTGGATACAATTGAAAGTGTTGTTTAGGTTTGACCTTATATTATATGGTTTTTGGTAAATCTAAAGTAACATTCTCAAGAAAATTGTATAATGTATGGCCAGCCTTAGACTGTCATTGGGGTGTATTCATTACTGCAACATGGTCTTGAATGAATTTGTTAGGAAAAATACTTTTTTGTGTGTGCAAATGAACAAATCTTGTTTGCAATCAATGGCCTACATTTGTGGGAGTATTTTGTAGTATAGTGTCTCATAGAAAATGTTGATTCTGAAAGGAAAGTAAAGGTTTTCTGACAAATCTGTTGGGGTGTACTTATTTATGCTGAGCACTGTGTATATATATATAATTTTTTTTTGCACAAGTGGTATTTTTTTGTTTAAAAATCTTTAATGATTGGGATGGATTATTTGTATTGTTTTAAGCAGATTTAGGCATGATAAATATTCACACTGGTTATCTACTGCCCTATGCTCTGGAAACTTCTTCCAGAGGCAGGTGGGAGAAGTCAAACACTCAGAAACGCTCGCCTGGTCAGGAAATCCTGACCAGACATAATACAATCAATCACTGCTTTACTCACTACAGTTAAGCCAAAAAAAATAAATTTAAGCTTGCAGCATAACTAGAGGAGGGCGCTACATATATACAGTATATAGAGTGCATACTCTACTCCATTGTTTTGATTCAACTGCCAGATGAGTTGATCACAGGTCTTTACATCTGAAGGACTCACCATTGCAATAGAGAATGTTATCATTTCTTTGTGATGGGTTCTACCCCTTTCTATTTTCTTTCTTTGGTTTAAAAGTATTATATATACAGTTATTTAGTTTATTTATGGCTGTGCACTATTAGGAATTTTCCCTCACTTTCTCTCTGGTAAAACTATTGTCACCTAGATAGCATGTGAGGGGATGTCTCTCTAACAGGTCACTGGATAGTAGTAAAACTTAGGGATTGTAACTCTTCCCCATTCTAAAACTATGCAAAATGTTCTAGTTGGACATACAGGTCAACCAGACTTGACCTTAGCTTAATGTTACACTAACAGTTATACACAAACCACTTTTACCTTGTGTATGTTGCAATGTAGCATTAAAAGGGGAATAAAGAATTCCAAAATTAAAATGCCTACAGATAATTTAAGCTTTACTAGCCCACTACATTGCATAAAAGTTACACAAATGTGGTATAATTTTAGTCAGCAGACTTTATTAACTATATTTTGACATATATATGTATATATACAGTATAGATGTAATGCCCTCCAGGTTAGTTAGGTAGTTTTCTTTAGATAGAGGCTGAGTAGCAGCCTGGGGTGAGTTAGCTTGTGAGTGAGGTAAGACACCTCAGGACAGGCTGGGAGGCTCTAACAGGTCAAGGCTTCTGGAGCCCTCCCACTCTTCAGAAGCCTGATAGCTTTCTGGAGGAGGGGTGGAGGAGAGGAGGCTCAGACCTGCATGCTTGAAGACCCTTGGCCAATCCCCTGGCAGTAGACTGGGCATGGTGACCAAGAAAACTCTCAAATGTGGCAGAGCTTAGGGAGAAGTCAGTGATTGTTGGGTGGAATATGGAGCGAGGAGCCTGGGAGGGGGCTTACCTAAGGGCAGGTTCTGGAAGAGAGGACCTCCACTGTACCAGTGTCTCCTAGGGAGGATATCCTGAGCATCAGGGAAGGAGCCAGCCCAGCAAAAGGCCTGAAGGCAGCCACCAACCCACCAAGCTGACAGGAAAGGACAGTGTGAGTACTCTTGCACCCCTTGGGTTGGATAAGGGGAAAGGACAGGCAGGTGGAAAATCCAACTAGCTTTTCATCTGGGACTGCTTTTTTTAAATTGGCAGCCTCTGGGCCTCTTGCCCAGGGATACCCTCAGGCAGCTCGTTGAAGAGGAGGATTCATCTGGGGCCTGAGGAGGTACACCTATGAGATTTGAATGCTCTTAATGGAGAAAATATTTGTGTCCACATTTTTGTACATAGTTGCTGTACGTTGTCTTCCAGTTTACAGTTTCCTTGGGCATCCTGTATACCCCTAGATCTCATCCAAGTTGTTAACCCCTAATAAAATCACAAAACCAACCTCAAGAACTGTTTACTGACTCCGAGTGGAAAAGAGTGGATAAATGTGTGTTGCCTGGCTGTGCAGAGCTTTAGGGGACTTAAAACTCAAAAACCCAAAAAACAAGGATATAATAATACCAAATTAAATCCCTATCTGTCTTTAAAGTACACCTAAAGGCAATTTTTTTTAGTTTTGGATAGAGTAGAGAGGGATAAGAACCCCATTTGGATTTTATTGCTGTCTGTGCCCCTGTTAGGGAGGTTCACCCTCTGTATTTGTCCTATTTACTGTTATCATTGAAATTGAAAGTAAAAGAAAATCTGAATATTAGTTGTCTTGAGAACACTAAGGGGAAATCTTCCAATTTGAACACTAGTTCTATTGATCCTGGTTACACCTTGGGATTTCATCGCTGTCTGGTCGCTGTGCAATCTGGGATATTGTAAAAGCGTAAACCAAGTCCTTCACGGGAGTTCAAAGGCATTCCAGAGAAGGCACAAAACAAGACACTACATTCAACATCCCTATGATTTCATATCTTGGAATATGAGAGACTTACATAAAAACCAGGCCTCAGATTGGTCACGTTAATACAAATTGTTTGGTATATTACCTTCCCTAGCTGGAATATATAGGAGGGCAGGAAAGTATATCTCCTGAACCATTCAAGTGTATATGACATGTTTCATCTCTAACCATTTCGCAGATGCTGCTGAGTATTAATATACTAGTGCCCAGGCTGCCAAATGCCCCGAGAATAAGTTATGAATCATAATAGCAGCTATGAGAGTTTCTAGTCATAACTTAGGGCTCCACCTACGCCTTCCTCCCCAAAAGGAGACGATTGGTTTACTGCTCCAGGGAAACACCCTGTGGATTTGCTAGAAAAGCTAGGCTGAGTTGAGCTGTGACAGAGAAGAGTCTCCTGTTTTTTTAAAATCGAAACTGACAGTGAGAGACAATAAAAATCATTTTGGGCTCATAAGACTTGAAACTTCTTAAACCAAGGCTGACTGGCAAGTACTTTAACCCTTTAAACTCCTTTCTGTTATCTCTTTGCTGTGCTATTGTTCTCTGTCTATTTTTATATATATATATGCAACATCTTTTTCTGTAACTATTTTTATTGCACCCTTTTGACCTTTTTAGTAATAAAGCTCACTTTATGAAATTGTTGAACTGTTTCTAAAGCTCTTTAATGCAAATTACAAATTCCTGCCGCTGAAGAGCGCTACTGTGTGTGTTTAACCCTCTGTATAACCTGCCTGCGGTGACAGTATACAGACGATTATTTCAACCATCATAGTGTTATTGCTGATATTGCCGAGTTTCCTCTTTCTCGGTACAAAAAGGAGGTGCTGGAAGTGTGAAGGGTTAATTGCGTAATTAACCGGACCCAGTAACAATCGCTTCCAGGCTGCCGGTACACAGACTGTGGTCCATTAGCTGGAAAATATGTGTGCAGGGTGCAGCTGGGCGTGGCATTGTTATGCACGTGACATCACGATTTTAGATTGGCTAGTCCTTCGGTCACGAGTTTGGTGAGAAGTGCTGGGGTCTGACGCCGCGATCATCACACCACCTGCATCAGGCTATGTTCAGGCTGGTTTGCTGAGCACATTGTAAAGCATCTAAATAAGACAGATTTCTACTGAGTGCTTTGCACTGTGCTTAGACAAAATAGCTAAATGCATGTTCATATAGCATTATCAATGCTCATAGGGCTCAAGGAACCATAGAAACAGCAGATGGGGGAACTCAGCACAGTCTAACATAAGTGGGGTTTAGATAGCCTCTGAAATGGCCGCCTATATTGGCCCTTAAAGGAACTCTAAACTCTGGTTTAAAAAAAAAATTATATTAACCACTTGCCCTCCAGAGTAAATCCCCCTTCCTGACCAGACCATTGTTTGTGATAAGGCG